TATCCATAAGTCAATTAAGTTACAATGGTTATGATATAATTTTTAATCAAAAGTCTTGTAAAGTTGTTAGTCAGAAGGATGACTCTATCCTTTTCAATGGCAAGAGGAAGAATAACATTTATAAGATTAGACTCTCTAACCTTAAAAATTAGAATGTAAAATGTCTTATGTCTGTTAATGAAGAGCAATGGGTCTAGCATAGATGATTGGGCCATGTTAGCATGAGGAGGATTTCTCAGCTAAATAGGCTTAATTTAGTCAGAGGTCTCCCAAATCTGAAGTTCTCTTCAAATTCTTTTTGCGAAGCATGTCAGAAAGGCAAGTTTTCAAAAATTGTTTTTAAAGCAAAGAATGTTATTTCTACCTCTAGGCCTTTAAAACTTCTGCACATTGACATTTTTGGACCATTGAAAATTACTTCTGTCAATGGCAAGAAGTATGACTTAGTCATTCTAAATGATTACAACAGGTGCACATAGACACAAGGATGAGTCATATTCTGTGTTTTCTACCTTCTACTTTCAAGTACAAAACGAGAAAGACTTTAGAATTATTAAATTCAGAAGTGATCATGGAGAAGAACTTGAAAATATAGATTTTGAGAAACTATTTGATAAGAATGACATTTTAATGACACTCTATCATTGCATCTGATTAGTCGAAGAATCGGGGAAAAATAAGCAAAAGATGAGCTAAAATGATGAAGAAAGACGCAAGTATGAGTGAAAAATAGTCAAGTATGGAAGAATGGGACTTAGTAGAAATTCTAGTGCAAAAAGAGTGAAAAAAATGCGTAGCTACAGGAATAATCACCTGTACCATCACACGCTATCGTGTGCGCGATAAAGAAGGAAGAATTACATCGCGCGCGCGATACTAATATAATGCGTGCGATTAGTGCTTTTATGGACCTTTTTCTGACGCGTTCTGAACCGTTAAATTTTTTTATGCCATGTGTCAGACATCGACTGCATGAATCGAAAACTGGAGTAACTATAAATTAGAGTGAGTTTGAACTCGTTTAAGATACATACAATCTCCTTATTTATAATTATAAGCTATTAAAAGAATTAGGTGGCCATCAATAAGTTTGAATTGGGCTTTGAATCTAACATGAAAGTTGTATCTCTACTTCTTAAATTTCCAATAGATGGTTACACGCTCCAAACACATAAAAGCATATTAAGATATGACTAATTGAGTGAAACAAGGTAAAATGGGGTTAAATTAAAAAATTATCTTGTAATTAACTAAAAACTAAGAAAAAGGTGCTCAAAAATATTAAGTAGAATATTATAAAAGTGCATACAAATACATTGATTAAATTCTCTCACATTTAAATTTCTGCATTCTAAGTAAAACTCGGTTTTAACACTAAAATAAATTTAAAATAAATTCTAATGCAATTCCATAAAATTTTAAGAATAAAAAATTGCAAACAAGTACATTTTCTAGACTTTAAGGAGCATGACATTCAATGTAATGACTCCTAGCTTCAACTTGGCAATACCAATAGAAATCGATTAAGATAGAGAAAGTAACACATCAAACTCTTTAGGATTCATCTTTTTTTATAAGATGGTTTCTTTTTCTTTATATAGTCGCTCTATTGACAATTAGGCCTACCATATCTATCCAACAAAGTTTAGCCGAAATAATAAAGCATATTCCTTTGTGTGAAGTAGGATAATACAACTCTGTACATGGTGTGATATCTTGCTTGTCATTTTCAGTGAAACTTTTATTCTTATTCATATTCGCCATCTCAACAAAAAATATCACTCCTCTAAAATTCTTTTAGTTTCATTTGTTACTTCAGCTTTACGACTCTTTTCAATATTTTTAACTATTAGGTAAGTTAAGATAACACAAATGAAATCTACAAAACATAGTAGCTATTGTGTTTAACTAACTTAATAATCTATCTTAATCTAAATAAAAAATGACTAATCACCTAATTTACAAATCATAGATTCAACTATTTAAAATTTAGATAATTTACATAAATGAAATTATCAACCTACAGACTGTAGGTATGCCTCACCATATAAAAACCAATGGGATACTTTACCCTTTAAGTAAAACTCAGAAAAGCTAGAGACATTAAAGCACTCTCAACAATAAGATGAATATAACGAATTGTTTGACGATTAGTTTTTTTTTTTTTGAGGGAAATGCTTTAAAATGTTACACTTGATATTTTTAAAAGTTTAAAAAACAATATGATATTAAATGTTAATATATTCTTTTTATAATTAAAAAAAAATCAAATACATTTTAAAATATAAATGCAATTCTTCAAAATCCTTCAAAAACCAACTCTTAAACTGACCCTTAGACTTTATTTAAGAGTTTAGAAGGAAGAAAAATGAAGAACTTCGAAAAAAAATATAGAAAAGTCTTTAATATTTTTTTAGAATTTATTTTTGATATTGAACGATAAATTAATATTTATCATTAATATATCTAAAATTTTAAAATACTATAAATGGTGACTTTTAGGGTGAGGGCTCAATTAAGTCCCTCACCTATATACCACTTAAATTGATCTTGGATTAAACAAACATACATGATCTAAATATTTCTTACCGTACTCAATTTACTCTCTTTAACTATCCCACCACCGCTTGCATTCTCCCTGACCTTTCTCTACTGCCTACAAATAATTAACTATAAATTGATCTTTTTCTACCATGAAAAGCATAAATTATAATGTTGGTTTAAATTTAGGATTGGGAATAATGAAATTGATTTTCAGAGCCAAAACAGAATGATTTTAATTATCATTTCATAGGTTTTATTTCAATTTCACATACCATGTTCTAAAAGGGCTCAAAATCATTTCACCATCTAAGCACTTGTGAATAAGGTCGAAGTTGAGAATGAAAAATAATGCAGTTTCAAAGTCTTATGAAATACTCATATTATTATTAGTGTTAGAAAAAAACCCATTTATAACTTAAGAATTTTTCAGATGTATAGTTATTGTAATCTTCTCCAATAAACTCTTTTGAGATTTTTTATTTTTATTTTAAAAATACATTTCTCAAGATCCAAATCTATCTTAGAAGTCTGATGCGTAAAAAGGGACTAAAAGATTATGATGCTTGGAGTTTTAGGAGTACAAATCTTAGTACTGCCATGAAACGTTCATAGGTTAATAGAAAACACTAACATATGTGTTGATAATTTTTCATGGGAGTTATTGTTGTCATGTGCTAGTGAAAGTGGATGAAACTCAAAACAAGGAGAGAAGATATAAGAAGGAATTAGATTTAATATGTGGTGTATGATAAAATTTGTGAATTTATTTAATCTGATGGTTGTTGATCTGACCTTATCAGAAGAGGATCACTGGCTGACCACACTCTGTTGGACTGCTACCTGTTCACCGGTGATGAGGAGGAAAAAAAGGGGGTGTACCTGCAAGACACTCTGATGCCAAAGTAAGGAGTTGGGCAGAGTGAGAGCGAAGTACATAAAAGGGGTAAAAAGTGAATTACCTGACCCTCTTGTGGAAGAGGGTATTTATAAGAGACCCCATCGCTGGGCCAACAGTCACTTGTGTTGGGCTGGATGGCCAGGCCCAACCCAGGTGACTGCTAGGGCTTACGTGGCGTAGTGAAGACCAGGACGTGGTCTTCGCCCTAATCCAACTGTCCCGTGGTCTCCGGAAAATGGGTTTGACCTGCTCTTTCGAAGGTGGGCAGTTAGGGGATGACGTGTCCCCGCGGAGGGGAGCACGTGGAGAACGTGTGAAGGATACGTTGTTCTGCCCGACAAGGGAGCGGGTGGCGCCCGTAGGGGCAGGTCGTGCCCGTGGAGGGCGGTGCCTGGTCGAGCGGGTGAGTCTCCTGCCCGACGTAGTGGGGACAAGCCTTCCTCGCAGGAAGACCTTTCTTGCTTGTCGGGGACATCGTGCTCAACGCGATGCCCGGACTGGGCTGAACCTGGTGGAACATTGTTGGGCTGGGTCCGCGTGGTCTGGGCGGGACCCAGGCCATAACAATTGTTAAACATGGTTCATGGTGAGAGACTTAATTGAGCCCTCACTCTAAAAGTCACCGCTATAAATCAAAATTATATTTGAATTATTTGTCTAACCTCTTCAAAACCTTTTCAAACTTCTCTTCTGATACATTTTTTAGTTTTCTAAATTAAAAAAAATTGATTTTTAAATAAAAATAAATTTCTAAAATTTTCCCATCTAATTCCTTTTATTCTTTCTACTCAATATTTTTAATGTTTTGATGATTCCTAAACTCCCTAAATTTGGTTTTTGCGGGTCTCTCAACATGCAAAAACAAAAACTAAATGTTTCATTATTTATAACACATGAATAGATTAATTTAAAATTTAATCCACTCATTACATTACCAATTTACCACATCTCAAAACGACGCCGTTTCAAATATATTTTTATTTAATCATCGTTATTACACATGCTTCAATTTCCCCAAATTAATTTCAATATATTAACAAGGTTCAAATCTCAAAATCGCATCGTGCTCGAAATCGTAATCATTCTTCTTCAAAATTCATCTTCTCTCTTACCTTTCCAATTGTATCTTTCAATCCAAGGGTTTAAGCAAAACCTAACCCTAATCCTAAAATTCCAAATTTTTTCTCTTGATCTTACTCTCACTCTCACCATCTCCGTAATTTCAAACCGGTTCTTTATCACCGCATGCTCTTAGATCTAATCATCATCTCCCAATCACTGGTAAGTTTTCAATTTCCAATTTTTAGCATCTCTTCCGAGTTTTTCAGTTTATTTTCGGTTTGAATTTGGATGAACTAGGGTTTTTTGTTGTTATTTTTTATCCTTGTATTGGGGTTGTGTTATGTGGGTTCTAAAGATTGTTTTTTTATTCGGTGTTTTTTGTGTCTCAGAAGTGACATTGGTGAAGTTTATTATTCATTGGTGGGTTTTGGGGATGAAGTATAATAGTGATTGGGGCAATTTTGATTGGGTTTTAAAGTGATATGAAGTGCTGAATATGAGCAATGGCAGTGGGAAGACTGGAAAACAGCTTGAGCAGACTAACCTTACAACGAGGAGGAGGAAAGTTGGTGGTAGTGATGAATTTGCGCAGTCTATTGCGAAGATTGCAGTAGCACAGGTATGCGAGAGTAAGGGTTTTCAGGGATTTCAGCAGTCGGCACTAGAGACATTATCCGACGTTACTGCTCGGTATATTATGAATATTGGGAAGTCTGCGAATTGCTATGCTAATCTTGCTGGTAGAAATGAATGTAATATTTTTGATGTAGTTCAAGGGTTGGAAGATGTGGGGTTAATGCAGGGGTTTACAGGGGCTTCGGATATTGATCACTGTCTTGAAGATTCGGGTGTTATTAGGGAAATTGTTCAGTTTGTTAATGAGGTTGAACCGGTTATGTTTGCACACCCGATTCCTCCGTTTCCATTTGTGAAAGAACGGGTGCTGCCTCTGAGTTTTTTGCAAAAAGGAGAAGAGCCCCCTGATGAGCATATTCCGGCGTGGTTGCCTGCATTTCCTGATCCTGAAACTTATTCACAGTCAACTATGGTGAATGGAAGAGGGACAGAACCAGGTGTTTCCAAATTTGAGCATGAAAGAGAGAATGGAAAGGCGGATCGGCCTCTGTTGAATTCGCAGCAGAAGATGGTCTCAAATATGTTTGAAAACACTACCATGATTGACCCTGCAATTGCTAAAGCAAAGACAGTAGCAGCAGAAAGTAACCCTTTCCTTGCAGCTCCTTTGAGAATTGAGGATAAAGAAGTTGCTTCTGCTGCTCCTCCAGCTAAATTCTTTAATAATATTGTAGTTTCTGATATTCCTATTGTAGAAAATTTTATTGAAAAAGAACCCATTTCGGTATTGGAGACGTTTGCTCCAGCAATTGAAGCGATAAACAATACATGTGGTGATTCCAAGGAAGATCGGACTAAATTTCCTGTGAAAGAGAAGCCTACTGTACGTTTTAAGGTCGGGACTAAAAATAAATTATTTGGAAGGTCAATTGGTTTCATTCCACCAAAAGATGAGCATAAAAAGACTTTGCCCTGGTTTGCAATGGAAGATGAGAAGGATGACAGGAAAAGAAGGGCCGAGAAAATTTTGAGGGAATCTTTGGAAAACCCAGATCAGCTTGTTCAGTTGTAAAATAGATTGCTTTATTAGAATCTGTATACTTGATAATGAGAATATCGGGATATTGAAATCTGGCTAACTGTCTACTTATGGGCATTATAGGATGGATGTTACTATTTTGCTCAGACATTTTCTTAGTTTAACAATTTTTCAGGTATGTGCATGTCAATTGTTTGGTAGAACATTTTATGATTCTTTTCATTGAGATTTGTTGGCCCTCTGTATGAACTTTCCAAATTTAGAATATAAAATATCTTTATTTAATTATAGCTAGGGTGTGAGTATGTGAGATGCATTGTCATTGAAATTGCATGCTGCATTTAGGGATTGCATGATCCTGTGTTATGACTCATAACTGTAGTGAATACTAGAATAACACTAGGGTCAGGTTCCGATGGGAACGGTGTGACATTGCCATTTTGACCACAGAAGTGTGAGTTTGGATGATCCTCGACGAGCCGGGCTGAAGCAGGTTTTCGAGTTCAATCAACTGAATAATTTTCATTCTTGTCATGTATTGGTTTCTTTGCACTGTCATTGTCATAACTGCCTGTCTGCACTGCAACATCAGCCTCTTCTCTGCTACCCCTCTGACCCAGGCATGTAATGGAACATTAGGTAAGCTTGATGGCACATTCTAAATTGGAGCAATTTGTTGTTTATGATTTTTGTATCGGGAGAAATTGAGATTCATGGCTAAGACGTGCGTCGAACTACCACTCCAGTTGGTAGCTTCTCGAATACGTGAGGTTGGCCATTTCAACTCAGTTCCAAATACAATTGAAGTGTGTCAATTAACTCGACCAATTTTGTGATATTTTGTTACACCAAGCCTTCTCTGATTCTCCCATTATCATATTTTGATCAAAATCAACTGTCTATGTGTAGGGTCTTATCTGTTCGAGTGATATTAAACTTTGCAACATTGAGGAATTAAGGTTAGGAATTAACATTTCCACTTCCTCCTTCTTCTGTCTCACTCTTACACACCTACTTGGAGGAACAGAACTTTAGAAAGGCTGAAAAAAAAGATGTTAGATATTTAACTGTCCTTTCATGAAAACCGAAAAGGAATTTTGAAAGGAGTTGCCGATTGCCCTATGAAGGGGCAATATATGACTCTGGTGACAGCTATCTGTACCCATATCATCTTAAGGATTTGGATCCTCTCCCACAAAACTCTGCATCCATCTCTCTTTCTCAATCACACGCACACACCTGCGCGCGCAGACAGACACACCCACGCCTGCTCGCCTGCCTGCACACAGACACACCCACGCCTGCTCGCCTGCACACACAGACACAGACACCCGCCCGTGCCCACACACCCACACCCCCTGCATGCGCGCACACACACATACACACACCGCCTCTCTCCATTCTTTCATTTATTTTGTTGGAGAGGGATGCATGTAGGAGAGGATCCAAACTCAAAATCTTACAAAATTTAGCATAAAAAAGTGAGAGTGTGAGAGGGCCTTGTTAAAATTGCATGCCAAGTTATAGAGGCTTGCCATGAGAGGCATCATAATCTTACAAAATTAAAAGCTTTGTATAGGGGCTTGCCATGTATGAATCAAAAGTTATTGATCATAGTATTAAGCAAGCACAGCTTGATGACACTCTAAATTGGAGCAATTTGTTGCGGAAAATTGCTTTTTACAATAACGATGTGCATCGTGCTGTCACATGCTACCACTCCAGTTTGTAGCTTAATGATTTCACTAAAAATTTGCTGATATGTCCAATTTGGAGATACTTTTGTTACACAAATCCTCCTGTGTTTCTCCAATTATCATATTTTGATCTACATCAACTATCTGTCCAGGATCTGTTTTTTGTTGTTGATAATCTATCTGTTTGCGTTACATTAGTATTTATTCAATGTAACGGTTGAATAATAATAAATTAAAACTATAACTCAGTTTGATTGAGATGCCAAAAGAAGTGTACCATAAAGAGAGAGTCAAGAACCAGTTACATCCTTCTTGATCACCTAAAAGAGATAGAGATCGTCATAAAGGATATTAAAACACCAAAACCACTCCATTTCAAACTGTTGAACATAATTATGATTGTGCCACAAGAGTAATTGGATGTATCCGATTTTTCTACATGGAATAGTTTTTTTTTATTAGTTGATTAATATCAATTACTATAAGTTTGTTAAAATAACAACAACTCTTAATTTAAATTTTAAACACTTCAGAGAATTTAAAGCCGTATTAGAAACATTCATCACAATTGTGATTGGAGACACGTGGAATCTAGATAAGAAAGCAATAGAGTGAGTTATTAAATTTGAGAATATAAAAATAAATGAATCAATAAATAGGTGTAGTTACATAGAGGTTCATGGCAACCGATCAATAAATTACCCCGTTAAAAAATGGTCCAAATGCAACACTAAGTCGTGGTGTTGTCCAAATGCAATACTTGATTGAAATATGCTCCAACAAATATGCCTATGAGATTTCAATCATGTGTCTTTCATATAATAAAAAACTGGTTTAAAATCAAAACATGTTTGCTCAAGTTATGACAATTGTTGATACCTTACAAGTTTATATTATAGTTTTTTTTATCGGTTTTTGCATATCATTCACAATATATTTCTTGCATTTTGATTTTACTTTTTTGTTGATGTGAAATCGACAAAGCAAATTAATTGTCCTTGAAAATACTGTTTCATTTGCTTTCATCAAAGTAAAATCTCTATTAGTCAAAATCAGTTTGTAGCCATAACTTTTACTTAGTAAACAACTATTTCAAATTGTCTAATACTCAACAAATTTTTTTCGTCTGCTCAGATTCTATATAGGCAAATGCAACAGTAAATGTTAACTCAGTTGCTGTCATACCAATTACTTCAAACAAAGGTTTTCTATACTTGTTTGTCTTGTACGCGTTGTCTATAATCAAAACATTAGGAAACATATTCAACAACTTCACCAATTCTGGATGGACCTAGAAGATATCTCTCATAACTTCTGACTCATCTTTTTCTTTCTTCTCATAATTTGAATTCTCTATCAATTTAAACAAATGTTGCATTTTCTTCTTGATGTCGTTTTGAATCTTACTCTTATGTTTATATATTTGCGTGATCCGAGTCACATTTTTCGGATTTCGTTCTTGCAGTGACAACAGTATGTGTCTTGATGGAACATGACGTTTTGTCAAATCAATAATATGTTGTTATTCATCAGCATTTATTCGATCTACACATGAATAACCTTTAAATCTATCCGGTAAACCATGGTTCTGAAATTCATATTTAACACCAATCTTCAAATCAGAACAATTTTTTGATGGTGTTGACCTAATTTTGAATTGACAACCACATTTCTTAGTAGTACTTTGTGTAACATTATCTCTTTCTTTGTATTTTCCACCTTTATCACAATCAAATATTACTGTCACTTCTTTCTCTCTTGACTGTTTTGGTATCTGAGCGAGTTATTATAACTATCACTTCATTCCTGATTTCAACTTCCCTAATCGACTTTATCATCTCTTCTTGTGTAGCAAATTTTACTGTAATTGAGAATATCAAAGGGGTCTATACATATCAGGTTTTTATCGCATATCATCAAAGAAATATCCATATCTGTTAAATATAAATGTAAAAAAAAAATTAATAAAACATAAAAAAAAAGTGTACCAAAATACTTTGAAATAAGAAATCCGATTTGTAAGAAAAACATCACCAGAACACTTAGATTCAATTTATCTGGTTAGTAGAAATATATAAACTGAAAATAATATGAAAAAGTTTTTCGGTTGATTTTTGTGAATCGGATAACTATGTAACATGTGAATCGGATAACTATATGAAAAAACATTTTCTTCTTTCAATATGCTTCTTCAAATTGAGAAAACTTTTATGAGTCAATTTTTAAAAAAAATCATGCCCACTTGTAAAGTAATTGGATCTTAATATTTTCTTTCCCATATTCTCCCAATTTGTTATGAAACCATACAAAATGAACCATAATTAGCAGAAGATAATAAGAAAATTCAACTTCAATATTCTTGTAACTATATGAAAGTAAATACTCATATACATTTATCTGTATTTCTCCATGTATTTATGAACATAGACTATAAAAAATACATGAAGAAAAACAAAGATCAAACTGTCAATTAAGCAGATTATGAAAACTGATTATTCTTCCATCCTCAAACTCCTTATCTAAAATTCCTACTTAGGAAACAGCTTTTGCATGAACAACCAATTTTTTTTCTATTCATCTCTCACAAACTTCAGTTATTAAGTCTCTAAAGATCAACCGTTCGATATCCAACACGATGTTCGGTTTCTCGCTGCAACGGTTAGTCCAAACTGTGTTCCGATCCTTCAAATCTCTTGATAATAGACTTATCGAATTCTCATCCTCGTGAACAAAGCCGATACTCATGTTTCGAGGTTGTAAGTCATCGATTTCTCTACATAGCTCTTCGTAAAGCTTCTTCCCTTTTACCTTTCTCTCTGCTAAAATGTCGTTGACAACATCGAATATGAGTTTTCTTCGCAATTTCTCAGGACTATTACCTATGGAAATGTTCTTCGCATTGTCTTCAATGTTGAAACGCGTCGTATTTGTCTTTATTTGTTCGAGTGCTAAGAATAATTTTGGGCTAATCAAGGTGCCTTGTGAATGAAGTAACTCGTTAGAGTTTCGATCAGTGACTAGACCTGAAGCTATCAGTATTTCTGATATATACTTATGATCAGGATTCTCAATGTTGTTGAAATTAACGAGTTTTTCATCGTTCCAATCAATTTGTCGCAGAATTTGATCAACTGAGTTCTGCTCAATATCGACTTCAATGCTTAAAGCTTCACCTATAGCAGAAGATTTAAAGAAAATCAGTATGTCAATATTTTCGACGATGATTTTCGTAAAGCCATAAAATGTGCCTTGGAATTCAATTTAAGTTGCTTACCTAATTTTTTTGAAATGTTCGATTTCTTTTTCACGGGAGACGGTGGATCTTCCTTATAGAATGCAGCATCAAGAATAGATACAGGACTCGGCTGTTCCGCTGTGACAGTTTTATCAGCCTTAGCGCTTTCATTCCTCAACTCTTCAAATGCATCCTGACCAGCAAAAAAAAGTTTAACGAATTGGTTTCGATAGAAAAATCTAACTAATTATGCAATGAAGAAATACTTACATTTTGATTGATATTCACTGATTGATCGATCCGAAGAACTTCAAGAGTGTCCAAGCTTCTGTTGCTGTCAAAATCTGAAGAAATGACATTAACATGATGCTTAAATTTTCTCTGAGATCTCGTCATATTAAAATGTTCGTCTCTATCCTGCGAAATGGAGAAATCGTGTCTATGTGTTGAGCACGAAGAAGTCGAAAGCTTCACAAGTGGCCTATTATGGTGTGTTTGGTTAATCGTGGAACCGGATGATGCACTAGTCGGCCGAGAACACCTCTCGAATCCAAACTTCTTCGGAAGTCTTGGACTCCCAGTTACCGTTATGTTACTGCAGTTGATGGTGTTTTTTCCATTTCTGCCTTTAGCTTTTTGTTTATCAACCAATCTTCCATGAACTGAAAGTTCTGTTGAAGGAATATTATTGGATTTTCGAGTCACTTTTGTTGGTTTCATGATGACAATTGGCGATTTACAATCACGGGTTGAATTCGATGATTCAACTGTGACAGATTCCGAGTCCTTTTGTGGTATTCTCGGGCTTTGGACTTTAGAACTTTCACTGAGACTAGTATTAATGCTCCTAGTGTTAGATGATGAATCTGTAAATCTCTGCATTGCTTCAAGAATCTGTTTAAGGGCTCTTAGATCCTTTCCCGACTTTTTGAACTCGAGTTCCGCTAGCCTTTTTTCAATTTCTCCGTATACAGAAAGCGAAGACTTTGATGCTTTTGTATCAGAATCACTCCCCTTTGAAGAATCTTGCAACAAAGAACTTTGGTTTGCATCATGTTGTCTCCACGGAGTCGTCGATTCGAGAGCGAATCGCGAAGGTTGTGTCACGTTTTTGAGTGAACCATCATCCCTTCTATTGCTCGGGGATGCCGGACATTGGTGTTTTTTGTATTCATCGTTTGTGCTTGTTCTTGCGTTCAGCTCTATTTGATCGGTTAAGCAGCTAGAAGTCCGACAAGTTTGTATCGAGTCCGGGAGAGCTTCTAGTCCCATCAGTTTAGCAACAACACTTGATGATCTTTTCGGTGTTTCTAATTCTTGCAACTGGCTCGCTGAGTTTCTCTCGTACCCTTTTTGCGAACCATTTGACACGTTGCGAGCCTTGTTTCCTTCGTTGATCCGTCTATCGGACCCTTGCTTGCTGTCCAAGGAAAACCTAGGAAGTTCCTTATGCACCATGGCGGATTTCACTGCATCATAAGAGAGTCGCGGTGAGTCCCATTGTGGTTTTCTTGATTTCGAAAGATTATGTAACGGTTCTTTCGAAACCTTAACTGCTTCATCGAAAGATTTCTTCGATAGCATAGGCCTCGGAGAGTCTACATGTTGATTCTTCAATGCATAAGCTTGACCCTTTTTCTCTTCCTTGGTTAATGTTTTCACATATAAACCTTTACCTTCTCTGCGCATCGAATCTTTGACAACATCATAGAAATCAAGTGATCGTTGGCTCGAATGTGTTTTTTTCGGAATTTGGATTTGTTTGGTCGATGACGATTCAATCTTGATTATTCTGTTGAAATCAATTGATGACATGCTAGATGAACACGACGATGAATACACAGATGTTATCGATGATTCGGTAGAGAATTTTTGCTTCTCTTTTGCAATCTTTACACCTGAGAAGGAAGAAAATTTTGAATTAGACCTATCTTAAGCGGAGTACTATATCCTGGATTAGAATCCGAACTTAACATTTGTGCAACAAAATCACAAAAAATCGAAAACTTGAATACTTAAATACCCGAAGAAGATGAATTCGGAATGTAACCGCTATTGCGTTGGCCCGTAATGATACGGTGGCGATCAAAGAGCTGAAAAAATCCAGTGATGCACCCAATCTGCTTCTGCAAATCATTCTTTTCATCTTTCATAGATTTCAAACCTTTTGCAGACATATTTATTTGGTTATTTCTCTTCAACTATGAAGTTTCCACAAAGCTTCTTCTTTTTCTTTTGTTAAACAACATTCATGCCCCTATTCAATGCAAAAGAAAAGAAAAACAATCTTAAGTTCAAAATCATAAGTTTACATCTACGTAAACACCGCCTAGACATCTGGCATGTGTCAGTACCGACACATGCTAGACTTCTGAGACACATTTCCTCAGAGGTGTCTGATATTGATACATGTTAGACAATGTTAAAAACAACGGGCACACATTTTTTTAGAGATGTCTGTGCTACATATATTTACATTACGAGTGCAAACAAAACAATTTCAAAATGCTGCTATAGAGTTTAGTATTTACCTTTTGTTGACTAACAGCTCAGAAAGTGAAGAGAGATTCATTTGAGAAACCCAAGAAGAGATGTTTTTGGTTTCTCTGTCTGAGTTTGGACAGAGAGCAGAGGAATACTTTTATCTTTACTGTGTTTTTGTTTCTCAAGAATATGCAGAGGCCAGAAGACAGAGTGTGTTTTGTTTTGTGTTAGGAAGAATTGTGGTGTACTATTAATTTATGAACGTTGAAAAATAGGTTGCTTAGAATTGTGACTACCTTTTTTTAGTTACATTAAGTAAGAAAGAGATAAAGATACTTGAAAATCAGGATTTGAAATTTTGACAATCAGTTTTGAGTCTGACTACACAACTACCAACTGAATTGATTTAATAAATTTAGACGGATTTTAGTTTTAGTATTTTCTTGTTTTGGTTTTCAAAACCATTATTTGATTTACTGGTTCGATTAATCCGGTTCAGATGTCAGTTCTGATATCAAGTGGTTGTAGCCTCCTTTCGACTGTAATTGAAGGAGATCGAACTGTGGTCCTTCCTATCAAGTCCAGTGCCAATTACCACTATACCAACTAATTATCGATAATTTTTGTATTTTTTGTTTGTAAAATTGAAATATACATTGAAATTTGAACTCAATTTAATAATCATTGACTTACTTATTACATTGATTGTTTAGTAGAATAAATCTAATTTCAAAAACATGCGATTGATGAGGTGGTAAGGCCATTACCCTTTTTAGGTATTAACTATTGAATCAAGGTCTCATGATCCACATTACAACTTTGTGTTTTAGTCTTTTTTTTGCAAAATTAAAATGCAAGTTGACTATGATCAAACTGCTAAAATTGTATAATTGTCTAAACACATGATTTTAACCTAATTACAAAAATTTAAATTTGAATTTCATTGTCTCGTCACAATGATCCATTTATCTAATTTGCTCTAAACAGATTAAATATCTCACTGAACGAGCAAATCACCCGACTCTTTATTCTATATAAATACATGTTCAGATCAAATCTCATTTGATATAAAACTCTTAACATTGATGTAACATTGTTGCGAGATGAGACAATGAGAACTAAAGAAAAGGTTAAAAGAACTCAAAATCTGAATAAAAAAACAAGAGAAGGAAAGAGGAAAGTAAAAGGAAGTTGTGCATGTGTGGGACAGATGTGTTACTATAAGGTCATTTCCTTCCTACTACTTCCATGTGAACAAAACAACGTGGGGTGGGTCTGTTGCTTCGAACTCTCACCTTTACCATGTGGAATTTGTCAGAGATGAAAAAAATAGGAATTTAAACAAGAGAAGAAATGGATCTGTGTATCATTATTCAATGGAATAAGAAAAAGTGGATAGAGATCTTCAGTTTAAAGCTGCAAGATCAAAAGCATTTCTTCAATTATTCTCATAGATGTTTCACATTTTACTAATCTGCCCTTTCATGGGTTCTTAGGTTTTCTTTTTCTTCCCATATGGGTGCCGACCATAGATCTAAATTGTGATATGGAATCGCAATTGCTATTATATATGTTTATGCAAAATCAAGATTCATATTCTAATTGAAAATATTAAAATTTTGGGTTAAATTCGTTTGAGACTGACTATAGGTCCATCGGTGAAATAAAATTATTGGACCTATAGTCAGTCTCGACCCTATAATCCCATAATTTCATTTATGCGATTTCAAAATGGAACTTCTTATATTCTACAACTAGTCGGTTCATTTTGCCAACAAAAGAGGTTTATATTATTTTATTGAAGTATTTATTACATGAATGCTACATTTTACCTAAATATTTTTGTGTGGAATTGTAATTGCAAATCATAGTAATATAAATACACTTATAAAAGAAGAACAACATAAATACATGTATTGAATTCTGAGAAAGGGTCAAATTTTAAACCTTATGAAAAAGGGAATTGAATAGTACTATAAGTTATGTAATATTAATAGCGCTTTCGTATGATACCAACCTAGAAAGTTGTAGGACTTGTTCACTTCACTATTCCAAATCAATATTGTTGGTTATGTGCTTTTTGGATGATACATTTCAGCAGAAAATGTGGACCTAAATTCATATATATATATATATATATATATATATATATATATATATATATATATATATATATATATATATATATATATATATATATATATATATATATATATATATATATATATATATATAATGCCATTCTTATTATTTGTCCATCTCAGTTAATCAAAATAATTCGTTCTTAAAAAAGCAATGATTTTCAAAATAATTTGGTAGTTACGAACCAAATTTTTGCGTTTTATTATATTTTTAAACATTTGATATGAGTTTTTACTTGATTTTTAAAAATTTGATATATGTTTTAATCAATTTTTTGAAACTTTGGTAGTTCATATCTGGTAGACCTATAAAAGACAAAATTAATAGTATCGGATTTTTTGATAAATCCGGTGTATTTTATAATTTTTTGAATTCAAGAAACACAATACTTCAGTGCCACAATAGTGCTGACTTGTACACCGAATATTTCGTTCACACATATTTATTACATTTTATATTTTTATATCTTTACATCTTATAAGAAAATAAATATGATTAATTAATGAAAGTGAAATTTTACCAATTATGCATAACTTGTTGGTGTATTTCAAATGTCATAATTGAAAATGAAAAATAATAAATTGAGAGAGATGTTGATAATATAAAGTAGAAGATACAACTGAAAAAAATAATAATAATGTTGTTATGAAAACTAAAATGCAATCATTTTAAGACATTTCCTTTTATGAATGTGATACTTATTATGACACTGAGGAATATTTTCTTTGATAATAAAAGAACATGCTAGTAGTACATCAAATCTAACTTAACAACGGTTGTGTGTATAAGTGATGTTTATTACTTCTACAAACTTAAAAAATTGGCCAACTATTCAAATCAATCAAGAAATAAAGAAGAATAAATGAAAAAGAAAGTATAGCTAATAAAAATTGACCTGGTTTATTAAATCCCTTTCACATGCATATAATTAAGAAAATAAATGAGATACGTGTGCAATATATCTTATAATACACGTTGAAGTTGTCTCATGCACGGGTTATTAAGAAAAAAATGGATTATTATTATAATTCATTTTTTAAAGTAAATAAAGAATTTTATGTAGATCCACTTAATTATCCTTTAAAATCTTAATTGATAAAGAGAAATAAAGTCTATTTTGATATGCGGAAATTAAAAATTAATTTGGAAGTCAGAGGGGTTGGCGTGTAGATTGTTTCAATTTGCGAATCAATTTATTGATGAGTTGTATTTTAGATATGATAAGTAGTTGTTAAATTTCAAAAGTTATAAATATGTATTTTATTATTCTTGTGTTAAGGACTTTAAAACTTTATAGTTGAATTTCAATCATTATAAATATGTATATCCATTATTATTATCTTCAGTATCGTAAAACTTTATAGTTGAAGATAGACAAAAGAGTTTTAAAATGTCATTGATAATTTTAGAGAGAAAATTGTAAATTCCAAAGAGTATATTCTTGAAATTTGGGAAACGCATGGAGATATTTAAGAGGATTGAGAAATACTTCTAAACACTCAAGCATATGTTATTTATATATAGAATTGGAGAGATCGAGAAACATCTGGATGTAAAATAGAATTTGTTCTTGAGAATTACAGTAACTATTTTCTTTTAACTCATTTTAATATTTTGTAACGACTTTGAAATTATAATGAATTAAAGAATTATTTTCTCCTCTATGATAGATTATTTAATTGAATTGGATCAATATTTATTGTGTTTTTTTTTTCTTTCAAATTAAGTTGTTATCGTATTATATAAAGAGTCATTTTTGTTAAAAGTATTTTATTTTAATTGTTATTATTCTTTGTTTTCACATATTAAATTTTTTAGTTTAATTGAATATTTCGATTTTGCATAAAGTGACTCTCATTTTGGGGCAAAGGATTTTTCTTTTTCAAGTGAGTACCATAAACTATAAATTGTAGATTGAAATTTTTTTCAGAGCCAACAATTTTTAATTGTGGAAAATAAAGATGAAAAAAAATCTTAACTTAAAGAAAAATATATTGAAACATTGAAGGGTGATACATCGAGAAGGCTGTACGATTGACATAAATAAAGAAGACTGAGATAGTGACAATAGTATAAAGTTGGCCAAATAAATATTCAAATAATTGAATAGTGAAAGAAGAATAAATGAAAAATAAAGTTTCTTCATCATCATCATACATACGTTTTTGCCAAATAGAAATGGTAGCTAATATCATAAAGAGTTTATTACTTGAAGAAGCTATTTGGAATAGAGTTTTAAACTTTTACACATGTTCAATTTTTTTTTTCTATATCTAAAAGAATGGGTCCTACAAATTAGGTGGATTATAGCTATGTCAAGGAAATGTTAATGTATGTAATTATCCACTAATATCAAAATCTAATCTTGGTGATAGTTTCTAAAGTTAAGTCGTAAAATGAATATTTAACTCTCGGTTGTAAAATGTATATTTAATCTAAATGTATTGTGAAATTATTGATTCGAACTTTAGTTCTGTCAATAAAAATATTGTTAATAGAGATAACTTTCAGGTTTCGATATGGGATAAGTATGAAGTCGAAGATGTTTTAT